ACACACACACACACACACACACACACACACACACACACACACACACACACACACACACACACAAACACACGCACGCACACACAGCAGCAGCAGCAGTAGAAGCATCGCATCTATTTTAAAGACATAATACCGATTTAATGCTGCATTTGTCGCCGCCATTTAATCGCTATAACGTTGCTTCGAGTGATTCTACTATCGATGAAAGATCTGTTACTGCTGCTAGGAATTCGTTATTCGTTGTCCGTTGTTTTCGTTTGTTGATGTTGCTGCTGCTGCCGCTGCCGCCGGCGCCGCTGCTGCTGCTGCACGTACGCCCGGATGCACACGCACGCACGCACGAGCGCGGGCTCACACGCCCGGATACACACGCACGCACGCACGCACGAGCGCGGGCACGCACGAACGCACGCACGCACGCACGCACAGACGCACGCACGCACGCACGCACGGGCACGGGCACACACACAATTTACACGACACACAAGAGCAGAGGGTTAGATTGAGTGTTAGACTAAAGTTAACAGCAAACACCACGCAAACACCATAACATAGAGATCGTTAGATTCGACTAATCTGTCCTGCGTGAGCGCCACGTAACTCCAGCCAATAAGCAATGAGATAGATGCTCTAAAAACGCTGCTTATTAACGAAGTATATGAGTCTATTTTTCACGCGTGTGAAATCACGTACTGACCGAGTAAGCTTGACCTACCTAGCAACAGTATCTAAGGTGACAGCGTCTCAGACGGACGGGTGAATCAGACCCAGCCGGTAGGGTAACAATTAAGGCAGCAAGCTTGACCTACCTAGCAACTAAGGCCGTACGCAAGAAATTTTCTGCAGGGGGGCAAAGGTACTCCCCNTATATATATATATATATATATATATATATATATATATATATATATATATATATATATATATATACACTGTATTCATCATCTTCATCAGTTCATAAAACACTAATAATATTATGATAGAGAGTTAAGGGTAAGATATATAGACCTATAGGAGTGTAACGACCACTGGGACATCTGTGTTAAAAAAACATCAACAGGCATTCAGAGAGAATGCTGAGCATTGATTGTCTCACGCGCGCAGATATTAAACGACATTGTATACGTATTATACTCTAAAATTACACGCGTAACAGCTTTCTGTGTGATATTGAAGGTTTTTAGCATATCTTTGTTTAGGCTAGTAAAGGCTTTGTCTATTATTCACAAGGATGCGCTGGAGCGCTGGAGTCTATCTCCCGCATAGATTTACTAGCAATCAGGGCTTAAATATGAGTTAACAACAAGTAACAAGGCAGGCAAAAAGAAAGGAAAGAAGAGAGAGGAGAGAGCGCGAGCGCGAGTGAGAGGGAAAGGAAATAGAGATAGAGAGAGCGAGAGAGAGGGAAGAGAGAGGAGGGGGAGAGAGAGAGAGAGCGTGAGAGAGAGAAGGAGAAAGTGAGCGCGGGAGAGAGAGAGACCGAGAGAGAGAAAAAGAGGGAGAGCGAGAGCGTGAGAGAGAGAAGGAAAACAGGAGAGGGAGAGAAGACCGAGGAGAAGGAAGAGAGGGGAGCAGAGAGAGGGGAGGGAGAGAGACGGAGGGAGAAGAGAGAGAGAGAGAGAGAGAGCGCGCGAAGAGCAGAGAAGAGAGAGAGAGAGAGACCGAGAGAAGAGAAGAGAGGAGAGAAGAGCCGAGAGCGAGAAGACGAGAGGGAAAGAGACGAGAGGAGAAAAAGATGAGGAGAAAGACGAAGAAAAAGACGACGAAGAGAAGGAGAAGAGGAGACCGAGAGAGAGAGGGAGGAGAGAGAGAGAGAATACCAGAGCGAGAGCAGAGAGAAAAGAGAAAGAGAGAGAGACAGACAGAGAGAGAGAGAGAGAGAGAGAGAGAGAGAGAGAGAGAGAGAGAGAGAGAGAGAGAGAGAGAGAGAGAGTATTGACTACTTGAGGCAATAGCTTAGCTAGTGGCAGTAATAGAGCGCGCATCTGATATAGAACGTGAGTCAATCACAGTCATCGTGTTAAGCGAATGTCATCAAAAGGTCACAATAATGTCATCTTATCAAAACAATCCTAATGCGAATGTCACGAAAGAGTCACAATAACGTCATCTTATCAAAACAATTATAATTCGAATGTCATCAACTGGTCAAAACTTTGACATATCATTAAAGCCATCCTAATTCAAATGTCATCCAAGGAGGGTCACGACAAAGTCATCTAATTAACATAATCTTGATTCGAACGTCAGCTGAACATCACCACAGCAACGTACGTCATCTTATCAATACCATCTTAATCTAGAAGTTGTAGGATGTTTGGACGCTCACAGATGCATTTATTCCCATCGGCTCTTGTTTAGAATATGTTGGCAATATTCAATTCAATATCAGGTTTTAGGGAACTAGGATAAACGTTTCAGAAATTAATATTGTAATAGTTTAGTTGTATCAAGTAGTGCAGCATATTTATCGGTATATGCATGCTTACTATATAGAAAACCCCCCTTTTATATAGACTTACCCTGTAACTTCTATCGAGATTATAATTCTTATTCAGTCTATGTATAATCAGCAAAATAAATAACTGCATTATTGTAAGCTAACAATTTTTGAACGTTCGCCATTTATGATAGTGACGTGATATCACTAGTATAAGTCGGTCTTACATTTTTAACTCTTCGAAACTAAAACATATAAACGTTCCCACTAGTTCCAACCGCTGCTCACAAAAAAACAAGCTGTAGAAAATAAAGTCTTAGCTTTAGGAGCAATCGATTGTACTATAATTACGTATTTACAGTACACACACGTATATACCGGATCAGACTAAATTTACGCTGATTTCTATTTGCACCCAGCCTTCTCTCTGCAGGCCACCTTTACAAAGCGTTCTACTTCTTTCTCTCTCTTCAAGTGATGCTGCGAGATTTCCCAAGCTTTATTATGATATTTAAGTTATTCCTGTAAGATTTTTCGAGCTTTATTATGATGATTCGTGACTGTGCTTTTCTTACAGGTGTTTCTGAATCAAGCTTGTGTTGCTGTTTCTTTCCCACGTTACACTCCGAATTCTCGTGTTATATCCTTACACATATCTCTACCCATATATATATATATATATATATATATATACATATATATTATTTATTTATTTTATTAAATAGTTATTATGAATAATAATTTATTTGTTATTCTCGTAACTATAATAATGAATATAATTCTGTAAAGCTGACAAATGTGTG